CGTCCCGCTCGACGCGAGTCTCGACCGATCATCTGAAAATTCTACGCAAGGCTCCGACGAATTTTTCAATTTCTTTTTTCTTTTTTTTCCGATTTCTCTTTTTTCGGCCGGTTGGCCGATCATCTCCTGAAAATTGAATGTGCAACGCTTCTCTTCTTGTGTTTGGCAGATCGCGGCAAGGCGAGTTCGATACTCTGACACAAACAGACTACTAAATGAAATTCGTGTCGTGATTCTTTTTTCGTTTCGCCGACGGAAAGCTTCGCGAGTTGTTCCGTCTCGCGTTACCTCGCTCTCATCTCGAGAAATCGAATTTTCTAGAGGATTGATAACTGTTGAATTATTTTTTGAAAAATTTTACGAAATTCTTCGATTGACCATTAAATTTATACAGTGAAGAACGTCAGTAAACAATGAGGATGAATTGTTTGTCCGCGTGATGCGTAATGAGGTGTTTCATTCGTTCAGCCATATCGGATTTCTCGAAGATGGATGCGAACGATCGTCCGCTAACAGAAAAGAAATGAAACGAAGAATTCAATCGTTAGCAACGAAATGTACACGTGAATTTTTTAAATGATTCTCAATTTCCATCACCGCTCGCTTCGACGGTGTCTGCTTTTTTCCCGATTTTTCAATTCTAACGCGACTTGACCTCGCTGCTGTAATTCAGCAATGCTAGATAAAGAGGAAAAGAAACGTTCTCACGTATTCGTTTGTCGGTATTAAACCGCTGTTCAATACGTGCAGCGAATGAAAATAAGTTCGAAATATTTATTTGATTCTGCAGATCTGAAATAAACACGTTGTGGTACGATGCTAAAAACTTTCTCGACAAAATGAACAGAACGAACGATCACCTAAACTCGCAAGTGGAAAAACATCTCTCGTTTATAATCATTGTAAACTTGTACATAATCCAACATAATTGACTTAACATTTAGACAACCTGTAAAATTATTCTATATACACATGTGTTGCATACGCAAATGTGCACAACACGCAGCTATTCACTGTTAGGTGTCTTTCAAAAGCTATGTTCACTTCTCGTTAGTCAAAACGTAACAGGTGGCAAAGGTGTATTTTCCCTCCGATGTAGCGGATATTTATATACTCTTACTCGATTCTCACAGAAAAAGTTATATCCGAAAAGAAATATAACGTATAAAACAGTCGGTGCGAACACGCACATGCCGCAAAAGCAAAAACCTAAACTATGTATGTATCATATATATACATCTTCCGAAGTGAATACGTTAATACAGCATTTCAAATAAATATTTCTAATTTGACGAATTACAATCTCGTATAAAAGGAATCTCGAGTTTGTTAATTTCCTGGTTATATCTCTATGCCTGATGATGCTTATTTTGAAAAGGAACCCAGCGATACTATAAACATACAAGATCACACGTTACTTAATTTGTTTTTTTGTCTTTTCTTTTTTGTCAACGAACATCGCAGATGTACTAACAATAAACGACCAATGGTAACAAGGAAAACTTTCTCTCGCTATTATAAGGTGCGCAATTAAAGGGACCCCTTCAGCTCGCCGCAAAATGTATGAAAAAGTTACTGTATGTTCCTAGCGACGAGGATCAACGCTCGTCGTCGGCTATCTTACAATCGGTCACGGTTTAATCGCGATTTAGAATCAGTCTGTAATTATAAAACTCGCAATACGTGCGCGGCCACGCGAATCACGCGGGTAATTTCAACGAATTCGGGTCTGGCGGAGCGTCGAGGTTCAGAACTGAGCCCGTGGACCGCGCGCCAGTGTTTCTCAATCGCCTGAACCGTCCCAAAATTACGCGGTCGCAGTCGGTAAGGAAGGGACGCGTTGTTGTCGCCTTTTCTGTCATCCGTTGCCGAGACGAAAACGATCGGAAACAACGAACGAACGGAGAAGAAATCAGTCGTGCTTTTGGGGGTTATACGCATACTCGCGCGGTCGGCGATCGAACACGCCCTCGGTGAACGAAAGGAGAAAAGAAACAAAGAAAAAAAGAGAGAAAGAAAGAGAGAACACGGTTCGAGGTGAACGGAGAAAACGGAATCACGAGATCGACGTGTCAGCTTTTTCTCTTTTCTTTTTGTCTTTTTTT